AGCCACCACAAAGCAACTCCGACACAAGACACACGTGGACTACTGCTTGGACATTGGAACGCCTACTGGCACGAAGCCTCACTTGTGGCAGTGCCACGCAAGCACGCACCCGGATTTCAAGAACCAGCAACTTAACCTCCTGTCGCCCTCCCTCCGAGTGGTGACCAACACGGCGTTCGAACGTGTGCTGACGGCCGTGGGGGATGCTGCCATTGCGTTCCAGCCGCGCGTGGCTTCCAGTGAGACGCAGCTGTGGCAATTGGACTCGTCTCAACTGCTTCGGTCGACGGCAGTCACCAACAAGTGCGTGGATGCATACAAGCCTGAGAATGGTGGCCCCGTGCATTTGTGGGACTGCGATGCTACCAACGTCAACCAGCTGTGGACGTACGACTCGACCACCAAGCAACTGCGTCACAAGACACACATTGGGTACTGCCTTGACATCGGTAGCCCCACTGGCGAGGTACCGCATCTGTGGACGTGCTTGCCTACGACCCACGCAGACGTGAAGAACCAAGTGTTTGTGTTTTAGGCACATGCTAATGCTATTACAGTACAATTACATACTACTCTGAGCCACAGTTCCAAGAAAGGTTCAGAAATAGCATGAGCTATACGTATAATCAAAATCGATTTACCACCTCTTTTTTTACGATTTAGAAAAATACATCAAGGACCTCTTTTTCCATGGTGCATGTCATCTATAAACTACCAACTTTTCACAAAAATTTCTTACTTCTATTTCATACTCTGTTCCACGTTACAACCGACACAACTCACTCCAGTAACCCCAAAAATTCATTTTACGGCCAAAATCAATGAGCCCAATCATGTTCGAAAGAGAATCGAAAATGAGAGGGGGTCTACATTGACTGGTAAGGAGGAAAACCAATTTTTGGCGCCCAAAAAGGGGAGAACCACATTGGAAATACAGTACAGTAGTCGGAGTGCACTCATCAGTGCACAATTCTTTGGAGCAGCATCACACAAAGTTCAAAATTGTAACCTCTTCTGTCAGTGTTATAGCCAATCGTGTGTAAGAAGCAAGGTGTAATGGACTCTGATTGGATATTAAAAAGGAGCAAGGTGGCTCACCTTGCGAATTCCATAAACAAGTCAGTTAATATGTACCAGTTTACTACAGTAGTACTGGTATGAAACATTAGATTTACAGCTAATACAATAAAATGTTTCATACTAGTATACTGGTAAAATGTACAATTATATAATGGTATACTTCATTCCGAACAGAGGAAGTAGCATGTGCCTAAAACACAAACACTTGGTTCTTCAGGTCAACGTGTGTCGTAGGCAAGCACGTCCACAGGTGCGGTGCCTCACCAGTAGGGCTTCCGATGTCGAGGCAGTACCCAACGTGGGTCTTGTGTCGGAGTTGCTTTGTGGTGGCGTCATGCGTCCACAGCTGGTTGACGTTGGTAGCACTGCAATCCCACAAATGCACGGCCCCGCCATTCTGAGGCTCGTACGCATCCACGCACTTGCTGGTGGCCCCCGTCGACCGAAGCAGTTGAGACGAGTCCAGTTGCCACAGCTGCGTCACACTGGAAGCCATGAGCGGCTGGAACGCAACGGCAGCATCTCCCACGGCCGTCAGCACGCTTCCGAAAGCCGTGTTGGTCACCAGTCGGTCGAGGGAGGGCGACAGGAGGTTAAGTTGCTGGTTCTTGACATCCGGACGCGTGCTCGCGAGGCACTGCCACAAATGAGGCTTCGTGCCAGTAGTCGTCCCAATATCCAAGCAGTAGCTCGCGTGTGTCTTGTGTCGGAGTTGCTTTGTCGTGGCTTCGTACGACCAATATTGGTTGGCGTTGGTGGCGCTGCAATCCCACGTGTGGACCGCCCCGCCATTCTGGGGCTCCCACGCATCCAAACAGCGACCAGTGCCGCGATTGACGACTTGACTCGTGGCGCTGTCAAAGGACCACTCTTGCACAGGCGCATTGGCAACGTCGGCGACAAACACGACTGGCTCCGAGGACGGGTTTGCAAGCACAAAGTTGTAGGCGTCCAAGCGAAGCTTGTAAAAAGTGCGAGTTCGTGCTGGAGTAGGGGCTGAAGTAGGGGCTGGAGTAGGTGTTGGAGTAGGGGCTGGAGTAGGGGCTGGAGTTGGGGCTGGAGTTGGGGCTGGAGTTGGGGCTGGGGTAAGGACTGGAGTAGTGGTCGAGGGGGAATTCCATGTGAATGCTTTGCAGAGGGGGCCAAGGGTGGCCGCATTGCAAAGGGTGTCATATTTGAGTGACACGTAGTACGTCCCAGCAGTCGCCTCTTTGCGCAGCCCTTGACCGATTTCGTTGACGTATTTCCCAAAGTCATCAGGGGTAAGAGTGAAAGGGACGTCCGTGGACTGCCCTGGCGTCAACTCGACCTTGGTATATTTCTTGAGCAATCTCGTTTCCGGACCTCCGGGGGCCGACACAAACAGCAGCACGGACTCCTTTCCCGTGGTCGTACCAGCGTTTGTCACGGTGACAGTAACCACAGTTTGGTTCAGCGACGGCGTCAGACTTGTGGCTGTCAAGCGAACGTTCGAATAGCCAAACGACGTGTAACTCAACCCGTGGCCAAAATGCCACTCCACCGGACAGTTCGTTGTGACTCCACCCACGACGCAATTACCACCAATTCGCCCATAGTACGGGGTGGCCAAGTTGACTTGGTCTGTTGATTTAGGGTACGTCAACGGCAACTTGCCGCTGGGATTTGTGCTACCAAACAGCACGCTCGAGATGGCTTCCCCACCCAATTCACAGGGCAGACCCGCGTACAGCACAGCTGCAGCGAGATCTGCAATGCCACTCAACAAGCGAGGACGCCCTTCCACCAGCACCAAAATTATCTTTGTGCCCGTTGTGGCGAGAGCCTTGACGTAGTCGGTCAGTCCCGTGGGCAGCTCATACGGGTCCGAGTTGCCCAGCAGTTCGGCGTACGTCCGCTCCCCCAGCGCAATCACAGTGTAGTCGGCGGCTTGGGCCTTCTGCTTGGCCAAGTTGATGTCCCACCACGTGCCGTCGATGTTGACTCCTTGGTAGAACTGAGCTCGCGTGGCATTGCCCACCACGGCACTCATGGCCGCTTGGATCGTTCGACCGTACGCTGGGAAGTTGCTGGTACCCTGAACCCCTTGCCAGTGAATGGTCCAACCTCCGCAAAGGAGCCCAATGTCGTCAATGGAGGGCCCCGTGAAGAAGAAAAATTTGGCGGGGTCTAGCGGCAGTACGTTGTTCGTGTTTTTGACCAGCACCAGCGACGCCTTGGCCGTTTCCAAGGCGGCACTTTGACTGACGGAATCGCCCACGGCATTGGCCAAATCCGCCCCAGGCACAGGGTCGTTGTACAGGTTGAGCTGCAGTTTGACTTTGACAATGCGTTGGGCTGACGTGCGAATGCGATCAAGGGAGACCTTTCCACTGTCGAAAAGGGTCTTCATGATCCCAATGAAGCTCGTGTCCGTCGGGACCATGCTCATATCTAACGACGAGTTGGACATGGCTTTGAACACGGCGTCTTGTCTGTCGGTTGCGTATTTGTGGAAGTACTCCATCATGTAAATCTCTTCCCAGTCCGACACCAAGAACCCGTCAAACTTCAAATCCGTGCGCAGCAAGTCGATGGACGTTTGCCGGTTCGCAGAGTTGGGGACGCCATTCAACGCAATGTACGAGTCCATGCCGGTCATGATCCCGGCGTCAATCACGGCTTTGAACGGCAGCATGAAGATGTTGAGCAGCTCGTGCTTGCTCAGGGTCACGGGGTCGCGGTCTTTTCCCGACGCACTCCCTGAGTACCCGATGTAGTGCTTGAAGCACGCGGCCACATTGTTGCTCTGGATACCCTGCACGATGGCTCGCCCCATGTCCGCCACGACCGTCGGATCCTCCCCGAACGTCTCCATGATGCGCGGCCAGCCTTTGTGGCGGGCGGGTTCCAAGCACGGCCCAAAGATCCAATGAATTCCCGCAGCTCGCGTGTCTCGCCCGGCAAAGCGCCCCATTTGGCTGGCGAAGGCTGGGTCGAACGTGGCGCCGACGTTGATTTGGTGAGGAAACAGCACGGCGTTCTGGACGTAGTTGGCGCCATGCAGCGAATCCACACCGTAAATGATGGGGTGGCCCGTCGTTGCTTTGTGCGTGGTCTGGATCTGACTGATCGCGCTGCGCCATTCGGTGACGTTCCATCCCGTGACGCTGACCGACGTCGATGTGCTAAAGGGCGAGTTCAAGTACGACCCGATGCGCTGGTTGGCCAGATCCGCGACTTTGGATGGAACGACCACCTTTTTCGCGTTCTGGTCTTGGATGACATAGTCAATGTTCACCTGCGTCATTTGGCCGATCAGTTCGTCGATGGTCATTGCATCCACAATGACTTTGGCTTGCGCATTGAAGTCCGTAGCTCCCGTCGCATACGGCAGCGCCACAAGCGCAAGCAAAACCTTCATACCGGACGAGGTGGTTTTAAGAATGGCAAAGCGAGGCGAGATCGCTAGGACAAGGTCGCAAGTTTAACGTTGAGTGATATCTCAACCTTGAGCTGGTACGAAGTACTACGCAGTACTGACCACCATACCCAAACCCCCGCTCCACCGCAGGATTCAAGCACATCAAAATCCCTAACAGTGCAGAAAAGTCGAAGTACCACATTAGCCATTTGGCGTCTATCAATCCACACGGGGTAAGGAATGCGAGTGTACTAGTTGTAGTTGAGCATGAAGCCATGAACTCCCATGTCTTGCAATGCACCACTGTATTCCTTTACGTACTGTTACTGGTACTGTACTTGTATCTTGTTTACTTGAAAGCCCCCCACACTTCAAAGAGTCCACTGTCGCCAGTTTGAAAGGAAGTGGGACGTGCGGGAAGTAACGACCAATTCCTGAGTGAGTAGGTGGCACACCCACTCAATTGGTCAAATGGCCACTTACTCAGGGAATTTAGTAACGTTACAGTCCTACTACCGTATTGACCTAAAACGTAACCCTGAGTAAGTGGGTGGTAGTCCCACCCACTTACTCAGGGAGATTCAGGAACAGGCCGTAAATATAACATTGCAATCCACTGCCGTTAGACTAACCGGGAAAATCGGACTGTGAATCACGGAAAAACGCGAAGGAATCACGGAAAATCGGGGACTGTGTAATACTTGAAGTAGCAACAGTCCAGCACATGGGATTGAACAGATGGGGTTCCAAGTGGCCTGAGCAGATTCAAATTGGAAGAAACCTAAAATGTGAGTTTGACAGAAACGGCCAAAAATGAACCTCTCAACATTAATAAAGGGAGTGATGGAAATATATTCAATATAACAGGTTATCCATAATTTAACAATGGAAACCAAATCAATTTGACGAATGGAAACCCCAAATCGATTTGACGT